TTCCAGGGAGAACCATGACTTCCGAGAAATCATCGAGAGAAGTCATTGTTTACAAAAGTTGTTACGCCCTAATTCCAGCTCTATCTAGAATATCCTTGTTTGTCCATCCAAATTTAAAACAAGGATTCATGTGTGTCCACTCACTCCTACAACAATACTAAAGTTAAAATTTTTGATTGGTATGTAAATATTAGATTTATTTATTTAAATGGTATTTGGTATGTTTCATTTTGATTTGATATTTTACCTTTTATGTCATGCTAACCCAAACACATTGTTTGTATCGAGTGGTACAGAAGCTTGGTCAACTGACTTAAACGTTATTTTTAAAAGAGCAAATTGTTTTCAAAACTGTGCATGTGCATGGTGGCATACAACAGCCTCAAAGAGGAAATATTCCCAGTGGGAGATTCTGGCCGTTGCTAGAGCCTTTGTTCTTATCTTGCCTTTGATATCATTTCCATTAGAAGCGTTTCAGCTGAATAAACATGTTCCATCATATGACAGTTGAGTAAATATTTTCGTTTCGTTTGCCGAACAGGGATATGCTGTTGATGTATTTTCTTGTTGAAGTGAACATGATCACCGTTGGAGAGATCATCTCTAATTCATGAGGCCTTCTTTCCAACGCACATTATTTCAATTCAAATTTTCGAGTGTTTTTTTCTCGTAAGCTCGCTGAAAAATGCTGAACAATAGAAGGAAAGGGAAAATGTTTATCTCGATTACGTCGAGAGCCTATCACCATTCCCAGGGCGAGAAAAGCATGTGACTGTGTGTACGGGGGTGCTAAAGCATCGCAACAAAGGCATTTTTCTGCAGGAGCACACAGAAAAACGAAATTGAATAAAGTAGCTTCTACACACGCCTTAGATGGAATTTCGGAGAAAATGAAATTTTCCTCTCATTCGGTAGTGATTACCGAACGACAGACGATGAACTCAATGATGAGGAAAATGGGAAAACAAAATGATGGGGAACAATTGAAAAGCTTTCATGTTTGTCAGGCTTTGATGGTGTTTTTTTGGTTTAAGGATGTTTAATTGATTTGAAGTTATTGCTTACACTTTGAAATTGCCTTAACGTGAAGGGTTCGTTATTCAAATCTTTCAATTACAGGCTTAGATTGATTAAAACGAACGTTTTACTATCTTTTTCCATATCCACAGTGGACTGATTTTTTCATCATCGATACAAATGTGTAGTGCTGCAGCAATGAGCACAATGTATAATCAGTTCAATCATAATATAATTGTTAAATTAAATAAGCTGCAAAGTTTGTTTTAATGATACAGCGCAGCATCATCGCCGAATAAAACAATCTTAAGTTAATCAAATTCATCATCCTATTTCGACAGCATGTCTCCGACGCATTCAAATTATCTGCATCAGTTTTCGATTTGATGTATTTTTAATTTTTAATTTGTGTGTATTAGCTAAAAAACCTTCAAACATGTTTTGCTAAAATACGAGTCTCACTCTATAAATAATACGTAACATTAATGGTTTTGGCTTGAAACCGTTGCAGTCTCAATTTTTTTTCGTTTACTTATTTTAAGGAAGTATTGCCACTTTTTGTTAGAATTTAGCTGTAGAAGATAAAAAATGTAGAAATTTTCGGAAAAGTTTTTTGGGGATAATCTACAATCTACATCTACTGGGTCCACTGTACCGCTTCGATGCCTTGATTGCTCCTTCCGCGAAACAGACAAACGTTCCCTGAAACGTTTCAGCACTGTACAGACGGTGGTTTTGGCCATTTTTAACTCTTTTGCGATAGCGTTACCGGTGGTGTAGTGGTAAACGTGATTATTTGAGGCATAAAATCTCTGATCACGCCTTCCTTCGGAAAGGGAGGTAAAGCCGTTGGTGCCCGGTCTATGAGTTGATGGTTCGATAGTTACACGGTTAGAAAAAGTACCCAAAAATAAGTTCTTTTCACTCATCTCGGCACTATAGTGCAGGAACCCAAAAGCAGGTAAAGCGGGTCAAAGTAATTTTCATTTACTTGTGTGCAATTCGTATGGAATTTTCCACTGGCTTTCAATCCGAAAGTAAGTTAGTTGTACCCAACAGTAGGTTTATATGATTATACTCAACGTTGGGTTCTCACACTACTACCCCTGTTGGGTGGTTTTACTCTTCCGTTCTTGAAAACATTAGAAGGAGAAAAGGAGACAAACTAGTCAAATGTAGGTAAAAGTGAACTGGCCGTTGGGTACTTTTTTTCTCTCCGTGTAGGGTCCAGGTGTGGGAGCTGTCTCCCTGGCGTCGGCAGCATTGGTGCTCAGCACGGAAAACAAGATCAACGGAAATCAAATCAAGAAAAAAAAAACTGTCTACGCGGGGGGAAAAAATACTTCGCATTGTTTCCAGAAATACTTTATATTTCTCTACATCTTTGTCTGAAACGCCACTTAGATAGGAAGTGCCGTTTCCGTGCCACAATTTATTGAAAAATTACAAAGATGCCATTTTGAAGAAAATTACAACAAATGACCTAATTTTTTTTAAATGTGAATGATTGCCCAAATACTCATTTCAACTAAAACAATGTTTTTTTTTTTAATAATTATGAAATAATTAGACGTTATGATCATATTTTGAATCTATTAAGATATATAAACCTATAGGTAAGATACAAGAAAAAGTTGCAAAGAATGTGTTCGACATATTAAACCTGTTTATTTCACTTCATGAGAGTCACAATCAACGATTTTTCACACACTCACTCACTCACTCACTAATTCACTCAGGGAACTGCATGGAAAATGTTTTGTAGAACAACTAAATAAACAGAAATGAAAATTTTCAACTTAAAAACACTAAAATGTATGAAATTTCACCAGTTTTTTTTTTTTTTTTGGTACTTGAACATACTTTTCAATTTTAATGTATGATAATTAACTTTAATCTAGTTCTTTTTCAAAGAGCATTGATAGCTAAGACTTTAATCTTTCATTTGGAATGTTGAAATCAGAAAACCACATTAAGATTAAAAAAATATAGCTAACCAAAGTTGGCAATACAAAAAAACATAAAATGTTGAATAACTCACTTAGCAGTGATTTCCGACCCTATGTTTCATGGGGATTTTTTCATAACTTTAGGAGCCCTATCTACCCTGAAAATATGTAAAACCCGGAACCAAACACCCTGTATACTTATTAGCTTTAATTTTTACGAAATATGTCTTCTGTTTTCGCTTCTAAAATCGATATTGCTGCAAAATTGTTGAAACCATCAAAACCATATTTTTTTCAATATTTTTTTCCACAAGAGGGCGGCGCCACGCTGTTAGTAGTTGTGATATCAAAACAGAAAGCATGCGGTAATCCATTAATGAGAGGAGAGGACAATCGTTTGATTTTTCGGATATCGATTAATAAATATACGTCATTGATCTTGATTTTGAAATGTATTTATCACCAATAACCTTACAATGCTCAAATTTTTCGTTTTTTTAGCTTGATCATCAGCATCAATATAGGTACCAGATTTTAGCATCCCTTCACTTGCTGCTTGCTGTTGACACAATCACTTAAATTTCCTTTTTACGATTTTCGTTCTGTTGATTTACTTATCTTTTTCATTGTTTCTTAGACCACCTTATCAACTAAATATTTTTTTTCATTTCTTTAGGACTGATAGCTTATCAATACTTTATTTTTTTAAATATTTGCAATAACTATTTATTTAAATTTGAGTGTTCGTCATTTGAAATCAAAATTCGCTCATTTATGATTCATTTCTATTGTTATTTTTTTTTCTGTCAAAGGTACATTCATATAAAAAGTCTTAGTTATGTCTTTGTTTCTTGATCGCTTGTTTTCACGTTTCATTCTTTTTAAATTTCCTTCGATGCTCACGATGTCATTTTTCAGATCAATATCGAAATGAGAATGAGCATTTTTTTTGTTTCTTCTTATTTTCTTAATATTTAGAGATTTGCTACTGCTTCCGTTTGCTTTCAGTTAAGTTTACTGTTTTGCGTTATATTTAGTTTAATCCTAGATTTTCCACAGTACCACAAAGACTTAGAAACTAATTTTCATTTGCTGTAGATGAACGATTTTCATATAAATATTTACAAAAAAAAGTGATCACACTTTTTGACTTCGGTCTTGTTTGCTTCGCTGCATACGTTTAAAATGTACAGGATTTTATATTTTTCCACACCGCTTCTGGTGTGAAATCTTACAGGTGGTAATTGTGATTTGGGACATATATGCATTGACGGTTTATGAAAATGTGTGTGGCTGTTCATTTCTTAAAATTATATTCTGATTCGTAGATGAGCAAAATTAGACTCGAAGTTCACCTGAAATATTGCATAATTGCTTTTTTTTATGGTAAATCATTTACCTTTTAGCTAAAATTCGGCTTTTTGTGTATTGGATATTTTTTAACAAATCATAACTTCCAATCGCAATGATGTCTGAGGCAAAATTCTAGTAAAAAAATATTTCTTTTCAAGAAAAATACATACTGTAAAAAACACCAGTAATTTTGGGTAAAATATCAAAAGAAGTGGTTGAATCGTCAATAACAAAAAACTACCATCTTTAATATTTTATTTTGATGTTATATTTAAATTCTTACTTCGGTGGACACTCAAAAATTTACAAAAAATCTTAGATCAACAAATTTGAGTCTACATCTCGTACATTTTGTTTATACAGTTATTTTTTGTGAAAATTTTCACAGCAAACTATTTTATAAACTTGAAAAATGAGCTAAAGTAAAAAAAAAAAAAATTAATATAAAGTTAAAAATTTTACCAAAAGTTGATGTGCTATGATATATTTTAGTTTTTGAATAATAAACTTGAAAATTTCACAGAAATTAGGATTAAGCATAAGCTTTTAACAAAGAACAATACAAAAAAATATTAAAGTGAGTAAATTTTTGATTTTGTTGTTTAAACAATTTTATTCATTTTTACCCAAAATCACTTGTACTTTTGTACCATGTATATATCCCTGAAAGGAAATTTTAGGTGACGTTTTCGAGTTTGTTGAACCATGTCGAATAGGTCATTTTGCAAATTTTGGCATGATTCAAGTTGGCCGAATTTTAGCAAAAATGTAAATGATTGACCATAACAAACAATTGTGCAAATTTTCACGCCAATTTAAGAGGTTCACATCTGATAGATTCGCCTTATGGTGTGGAACTGCTCTAGAGTCACATGCAAGGTGATCATTTCGATAAAAAAAAAAAATCCTAAATGGTCACTTTGCATATGACTCTACGAATCTGAATTAAAACAAATAATGATGAGAAATTTCCTTACACGAGAATCACATTTTGATAGGTGGAACAATTTTTAGGATATCTGACGAGATCAAAGCAGAAAACAAGCAGTGACACGAGTATTCTTTTTGCTGATTCAAATTTATTTTCTGTTTTTGAAGTTCCAACGAATCGGTATTTTTATGTGAGTTCTTAATGTTCTAAGGTTCTGAAAAATGAAACTATTTACAGACATTTTCATGAAACATTGCATAGGTTTGTGATAAAAAGATATCATTTAGCTCTAAATGACGAGTATTTACAAAACACGAAAAATCAGTGAGCAGTCATTTTAAAACAAAGCTTCTCCAAAGTCTGATCGTTTCCATCGCTATCAAAGTACTGCAATGCTTCAAATGATATAAGATCAATAAATTTTAGTCAATTAATTCGCTGCAGATACATTAAATTATTATTCCACTCTCAACAGCCCAAACATATCTGGTGAAGTTTTCAAATCGATGTTATTCTAAAATTGTTATCATAATTTTGTTTTGATGTTCTGTTCAACAACAGGCATATCGGAGAAAATTTGCTTCCAAAGCGTAGCTTTCAAAAGGCGGCTGACGTAGAAAATAATTCGGTTGGGTATGCAAAAAAAAAAGCAAAAGATTATGAGTGCAAGCGCTTGAGCGCTAAAAGACAGAACTGTTCTTCCCATCGCGATGTATCAAGGGGTTTAAAGAAAGACAGCACTGTGAGTGTCGAGAGACAAAACTTGTTTTCAGCATTTTCCAATATGACGTGGCAGAAGCGACAGTGGTTGTTGTTCACAGTTTTGAGTGTGGGTTGGGATTATTGGATGGTATTACTGCTATCCATCGAATAGAGCGGCTCGAAGGTATTCCACTCACTAGTGTTACGCCATGAGATCTAACGATTCGCCTATGGATCATGGGCCAAACAAGCTTCTTCCTGCGTTTGTCAAACGATGTACCAATGTACTTGCTGTACCTGTTAGTTGTTTACTTAACCTTTCGGAGGGAGTCTCTCCTGATGCATGGAAATTTACTGTGGTAACAATGTTTATGTATGAAGAGTGTAGCACAAGTGTTTGTTTACGAAAACGAACGAAGAGTTCAATTCGTATGGCAAGTTTGTGCTATAAGAAATGCTCATCGCGTTTATTCGAGAAATTCACATCAAAGATTGATTGCATGCATAGGAAATCCGGTTGCATAGGAAATCCGGTAATATGAAATAGGGCGAAATTCGTTCGCAATTTGTTTTGGCATTTCTTTTGGTAAAATAGTGAACTTTCATGATCTCTAACGATTTGGAGGCGAACCAGCCTCAGGCTGAAAGCCTCCCTCATAAAGATAAATTAATTAATTAATGATCTTTAACGGAAAATAATTCACCAGCACTGCCACAAGTCGCTACCCGAGCAAAACCTGAGATCAAATTGAAAATTAAATTTGATGTTGTGATGTTGCTGATTACTCAGGTTGCTGTCGTTTTGGTCGTTTTAACGGCTAAAATATCAAAATTGAGAGCAAAAAAAAAAAACTTCCTGTGACATCACATTAAACATTAATTCTGCTATCAGTGGGAGCAAACTGAAAAATCAATTTGATTTACATTTTTCCTGTTGATAACAAAACAAGTATTCAATTTGATGTTCTGTTAAAGAAATGAAAACAAAACCGCAACAACATATTTTTGAAGAACACATTTACAGCAAACGAAAACAAAACTTGTTATCAAATTAATCAATCGTGTACGTTTAAAATTTATCTAATTTATCAATCGCGTAAATCAAATTATGATTTCAGTTAGATGTTGATAAATATACAAATTTTTATTTCGATTTTCTGTCATTTTGATGCTAGTCTTTGCTCGGGTAATCTTTCTACACGGAATAATCCATCATGGGTAGCGCAAATACATAAATCTGGCAGCACTCATGGCGTTGAAAATAGTCGTCCTATTTCGGTAATAAAATACAAACAGCCGCTCAACATATCTGTTCGGTAATTTTTACAAGAATCTGGCACTTGACTGAGGGGGGTGACACATCTAAATCTCAAGTCTAGATGCTCAACAAATCTCACACTAGCGAATCAAGCTTCGACAAATCTTTTTTCATTTCTCGCATCTACTTGCATCAAGCATCATCTTTTTGCAGGAAATCTTCAGAATCGTCATCAATCTTCTTTCTATCTACTCAGCGTGCGCGCAGCTAGCCACAGCAAAACACAATCTTTTCTGCATCGTAGATAGAGTCGTCCCCCTCGCACTTGACTACCGTTTGTTTTGGTAAAAGGCTATATTTACAGTACGTTCGTCACACTTTTTGCAGTATTTCCAAAGTGCAGCAATTTATAGAATTCAGCATTTTTCAGTGAGGAAAGTAGGTAAAATAAAACATTTCACAAAACTATTGGTAAAAATTTGATTTTACAGAACGAGTTCAGCAAAAACAGTACCAAACACAATTTAAGAAATTTGCTGTGCACTTCGCATAATTTTTCAAGTTTTGACGACCAACCCGCCATCAACATCTCAGCGTATTACTCGCGTCAACTCTGTCTGGATCGCTTTTGTGGGACTTTTTCATTACTTTTAAACATAAAATGCTTGCCTTAAATCAAAGACATCAAATCAAGAAGACTACCGACTCTGACAGAATTCAAGCGACAGATACAGTAGCACTGCGCTCGAGCGAAGGTGGAAGTACTGCATAGACAAATGAGCAAATACAGAAACCTTTTCTTCTGAGGTTGAAATCTTTGCTATCAAATTCGTTCGAAGCATTTACCTTTGCGCGGCATATGACGCGATTGTGTCGGTCTCATAGCGGTCTTATGAGAAAATGGAAGAGTTGCCAGTCTTCTTGATATGTTGTCTTCGCTTAAATTCAATTGAATTTTCAGTCAACCCATCTTAAAATAGATGGTTTGGTGCTTTTGATCTCCCTATCAAAATTCAAAATTTCCGAACGATAGAGCCCCACGCTGTGTTTTCACTGAAGGTGAACTTGAGAGCACTCAAGAGTGCACCTTCAGTTTAAACACAGAGTGTGTCTTTATGGTGCTAAAATTTAGGAATTTTTATACGGAGACCGTAGAGCCGAAGGAATTGTGAAGCTTGAGTGTAAACAAAATGAAAAGTTTAAAGAATAATAGGAAAACAAAAATGTTTTAACAAATGGAACAGCTAATCAAATCACAGATTCAAATCAATAAGCGAACGAAACGGTCAAACTTTGTTAATGGATTCCTTTTTTTTTGTTTTTATTTGTTACATACCATCAGTCCTTTTTCTTATTTCGTTTTGCATTAATTTAAAAAGAAACATACTCACATTTACACATATACAGACTTACTTACTTGATATTCAGTGATTCTACTGAACAGCGTCTTTCAAATAATTTACTATATCGACCTTATTAGCAATATGGAAATTAATCTCGAGAAAGAAAACATCATACACGGTAATATTCACATGTCTTTTTGGCAAATTTTCTTGCATTCTGCACACAAGTTGGAGGCATGTCGAAAGATCATTTAAAATCAAAACTTTATCATAATTTCGAAAAGTAAGACAAAAATCTCAAATCATAAAATTCTACCTTACCAATGTGACTGGACAACGATGGACTGAGCATTTTATTTTATCGCTAAACTACTTGCGAATACATGGTTGGTGTGTTGAAATGTTTCATAAACTGTTATGTTAGTTTTTCGGTGTGGATGATTTTGGGACTGGTGCAAATTATTTCAAATTTTCACTGACTTCTGGAATGCTCATCGAGACTGACTCACGATAGAGGCTCCGTATTAATGTACATTTGTGTTTTACGTCGATCTGATCTAGTGTTGAATGTAGAAAAACGAAAACGATTGCTGCTAGTCCATTCACCTATCTTATACATACAACAGCTAGATTCGTGTTTTTCCCATGCTGGGATTGTAGTCTTTCTTTCCTCTTTTTAATTAGTTTTGATTCGTTGAATAACGGTTTGTTTTGAAGTTATAAGCTGTAGATTCAGAGATAGATCGAATTTCGAAAGCTACAGAATTAAGCTTTCATTAAAGTTACGCATGCCTGCTGATTCGTATCAATAACATAAATTAAAATTATGTAAAAGTACAGGAAAATATTGGGTGACAATGTACAAATAGAACACGGGTTGTTTGAGGAGAAATCTCTATGTGAGGGGTGGGCTATCCTGCTCTCCGATGCATTATACCTAGATGCTTAAACTTTAGAGGTTTCGTTGTAGTCTACAGCTTAATACTAGAAGCCAACAAATGGTGGCAACAATTAAGTACAAACTGCTGAATTGCTGACAATTGCGATGTAGTGAGGTCGAGCCACTTCGAGATGTCGAGCTGGCTACCTGCATTTCCTCGGAATGAACATCGGACGATATTCGTTGCGTGTAGAACTGAAAGATATCGCTGACCTGTTTAGAATCATAAAAGGGACAATATTCAATAAACTGTCAGTAATTGGTGAATGTTTAGTGCATTTACCTCGTTCCATCCGTAGCGGTTCTTCGCTTGTACGATTGCCTCGTACACAGAACTAGGCTGCAGTCCGCGAAGTGTGAAAGCCATTACGTGTGTTAGGGGCTCCGTAATAGGACGCGCTGATGGTGTGAGGATTACATCGTGCCATCGGCCTGGTTGTTGGAATGTTTCATTCATCTAGGAATCGAAAAGAGTTTGATGTATGATATTAGGCTTGGTTAATCATTTCCAATCGATTCTTAGCGGTTTTATATTAAATTTCAGGATTTTTTAGGAATCGACTCATCCTAAGAGACAGAACATGCTCAAATTGATCTACTGAAATAATCAGTTTTCGTATGTAAACAATGTATCCCTTTCATCTTTTCACATTTTTCTAGATGATTCTCCCAAGAACCTAACATCGCATTGAGTTTCCAAACTACATCTTACACCTAAAAGATGCAGTGTTGAAATTGCATAGATTGTGTAGGAAAGGAGGGTTGACATTTGCCCAGGGCCAATACAATTTATTGTTAAATATATGTTTGATTAATTATTCAACGAAATGAGCTAACGTTTAATAATTGTAAACATTGTATATGTGTTCGAAATATTTAATTTATTTTTAAACAAAAAAAAACAAGACACAGAAATAGACAAAGCACACATGTCTCGTTTTAATCACTCAGCTTCAATCAGATTACTTTTCTTCACTGTGAATGAATACTTTGCAGTCAAATTGCACACCTACACATCTGTTGAGGCCTTACCGTAAACCTAAATCTAAATTATATATATTTAAGTCAAAGATTACCAAACCTACCCTAAAGCTACGGCTTGTTTTCTATACCTAAAGATCCATGTGTGATAACAGATAACAGAGAGAGGAATAACGAATACCATTGTAAAAACACAAGTATTACACTTGATCACGATCGATGTGTGCTAGTCTTGCACTCTAGTGAAAGAGCGAAGACAGCAAAAATAAGTGCAGTTAGTGTAGCCATTCTACTGGCCCTTTTGGCAGCCGTTTCGATGGCGAAGAAAAACCTTCGGTCCAGCAATTACAGCCAACTGGCTTGTACACTTTGGTCCTTCGAGCCGGATCGAAGGAGATCCCGGTCAGATGGTCTAGTGCGCGAGTGGTGCCTAATTTCCCGATCTGTGAGACCAAGTGATGGCCGGCAAGGGGCCGTATAGAAATTTGCACCATTGCATTGGTGTGGCTACTGAATAGCCGTTAACCATTGCTGCTGGCATTGTACGATCCACCGAGGAAGAATAGTGTGTGATCACCGGCAAGCAAAGCATTGTTGCTGTGCCTTGCTTTGATAGGAGAAGTGTGCTGCAATTAGCCTAATCAAATTTGCCCGTAATGCGGCACAAATTGAGGCGTGATTTTTTTTGGCCTTGTTGACGGCAAGGCAGATACGAACGACACGTTAAAGTGACCATAACTGTGTTTGCACCGATCCGCGAATTCACGACACAATCCGTGTATTTCGGCGGAAAGGATTTTCGTCCGTGTCGTGAAGGATTAAACCGTTACCGTCCCCGTTGGGAAGGAGCAATTCGCACTCATCCGTGTCGGGAAGGATTATTTCGATATCGTCCGTGACGGAAAGGAGCATTTCGAAACCATTTCTCGCGGTCGTTTCGTTCTAGATCGGTGTAAAATGCCGGACAAGAAGATCGAAAAAAGGCTGACTGATTTGGAAATCGTGAAGAAAGCCCTGTACGTACATCGCGATGGCGTTGAAAGGTTTGTGAAGGACTTTTAAGAAGATCGTGATTCATGCCAGATACCCGTGTGGATTGAATCTCTGGACAGAGTGTACCACGAATTCCTGGAAGCGCAAGGTGAAGTCGAACGGTTGGATGACGAAGAACAGTTGAACGATCACCTGACGGAACGAGCCAATTTCGAAGCACGTTACTGTTCGGCGAAAGGCTTCTTGCTGTCCAAGCGAACAAGTGGCCCTCAACGCGTCGATCCATCATGCTCCAGCCAATCCAGGTACTTTCCACCTTAGACTTCCGCAGATTGATCTCCTAAAATTCAATGGGGATTTCTCGAAGTGGTTGTCGTTTGGAGAAAGCTACACGTCGATGGTGCATTCGAATGCGGATATTCTCACCGTGGCAAAACTCCAATACCTCATCCAGTCACTCGTAGGCGAGGCACGCAAGCCGTTCGAGAGCGTGGACATCGAGGCCGATAACTACGCTGCCGTGTGGGATGCCTTGCTAAAAAGGTATGAAAAGCAGCTTTTCCGTAGTATCTACGACTTCCCATAGTTGAAGAGGGAATCCGCCAACGAGTTACACGAGCTCGTGGACGAGTTAAAGCGGCACGTGAAGGCTCTGGCCAAGTTGGATGTACCTGTCGAGTATTGGGACACCCCCCTCGTAAACATCCTGTCCTACAAGCTCGATCTAGCTACTCTTCGTGCGTGAGAAGAAAAGACCAGCCAGCAAGACGACGTCAAGTACAACGACCTTATTGAATTCCTATACCAGCGTGTACGAATCCTGAAATCTGTAGCATCCGATCTGCTGCAACGCTCCCAGCCGGTTCAAGCAAAGGTGGCTGGCAACTTTCCTCCTCCAAAGAAGTACATTCAACCCAAGGTTGCTGCCAACGCTGCTGCATCTGACAGCAGGCCAAACTTGCCTTCTTGTTTCGCTTGTTCAGAACGACACTTCCTCTTCCAGTGTCAAGCTTTCGCCAAATTGCCCGTCAGCTAGCGGAGAGAGCTGGTATCCCAACGAAAGCTGTGTTGGAATTGCTTCCGAACTGGTCATCAAGCCAGAAACTGCTCCTCGAAGTTCTTCTGCCGAACCTATCGAGAGCGGCACCATACGTTGCTGCATGATTCATCCCAGTCTGGTAAGACTTCGTCCACCCCCGCCGTGATGTCAAATTCCCATGAAACGGCGCAAATTCCACCCATGTTGGCTACCCCAGGACCGTCTACCTCATCCCAACAAATAAGCATGTCAGTTCAGTCTCACGCCAGCACGGTTCTCCTTGAAACAGCCGTTCTCCAAATCGTCGACAATCACGGACATGTTTTCCAAGCCCAAGCTCTACTGAATTCCGCTTCGATGTCGCATTTCATGTCTAAGGAACTTGCGAATCTGCTCTCCAGCTCCCAATCCAATACACTTAGAAAAATTCATGTACATTTAGGTGCTCTGAGACTGACATATACGAGCGTCAATTTTGACATAAAATTGAGTCATAATAGACGCGAAATTCAGCTCAATCAAACATACTTTCGAACTTTTCAGTCTTGGAGCACTTAATTTTACATGACATGTTTGTTTACGTCTCATTCTTTATGTCAAAGATGGATTCCGTCACGTGTAAAATTAGGTATTTCTAAGTGTGAAGGTTGATGTGTCCGTAGCTGGAATCGAACAATCCCACCGGAAGATCAAGCGTGCAGTAGCCACCACAATCCAGTCAAGAGTCGGATCGTTCTCTACGAAACTCCAATTCCTCGTGATAGAGCATCCCACTACTGATCTACGAACCATGTACGTGCAGATTACTTCATGGAACCTTCCGAACGTGTAGTTAGCTGATCCTGAGTTCCACATTCCCAACAAGATCGACTTAGTCATCGGTGGTGAAGCGTATTAGGACCTACACACCGGTAAAAGGCTCGATCGAGGTCCAGGCCTACCCCACCTCATCGAGACATACTTTTGTTGGGCTATTCGTTGAACGATCTACTTCTTGTCGGACCAGTCGTTCAAGACGATTTACTGTCGCTCGTCATGCGGTTTTGCTTCTACCCCATTGCCTCAACGGTGACGTCGAGAAGATGTACCGTCAGATGCTTCTCCACAAGGTAGATTGACCGTACCACAGGACCAAATGGCGCAAGGATGCATCCGAATCGATAGCTACCTACGAGTTGCAGAACGTGACCTACGGCATTGCTTCTGCCCCGTATCTTGCCACCAAAACTCTCCAAAAATTGGCGAGTGATGCAGGTCACTTATTCCCACAATCACACTTGATCACCCGATCGATGAGAGGTCAGTGGTCAACCCGATCAAAACAATCAGACCAAACTCAACTCACAGCGTGAATACACGGTCGATTTTGCACGACAAAACGAAACACAAATTTCCTTGGTCCAAGGTCCGAAAGTGGGTTTTTAGTGCTTGTCTGCGACTTTAGTGCAAAGTGGGAAAGCAGAAGATTATTTAATTCCCCAACGGTGCGCGATCGATGTGTGCTAGTCTTGCACTCTAGTGAAAGAGCGAAGATAGCAAAAATAAGTGCAGTCAGTGTAGCCATTCTACTGGCCCTTTTGGCAGCCGTTTCGACGGCGAAGAAAAACCTTTGCTCCAGCAATTACAGCCATTTGGCTTGTACAATATCAAATTTCGGCAATGCGTTAAAATTTAAATTTAAATTATATGCCACTTGATTACACTTCATGCACGACTTTGTTTTGAGTTTGAGACGCTTATGATTTCATCAGATGCATTTGATACTATAAACTGGTGGAAATTAATATAAGGACACTTTAAAAGGATGGCTCCTCTCAATTTTAAGAAGAAGAAGAATTCTATATCATGTGTGTGTAGAAGTCACATTAGCGTGCCACAATAAAAGCCTAAGAAAAAGGCATGATATAGCATGTCAAAACTTATTGTGTCACCAAAATAATCAAAGAGTTAGTTCAATTTATCATTAAGATTTTTGCAAAGTTTTACGGAGGACAATCACTAGATGTCTCAAAATACATGAAAATCATTGGTTGTTCATCGACCATCACATAGGAGATACATCGAATTAGATTAGATTTCTTTATTAACAGACCATCCGCAAAAGATTTTTTGTGGAAATTTTGATTACTCAGAAAATGGGTTTTCCTGGTTTTCGTTGCATTTTTCCTTCAGCGTGTAAAACTTCGTAGATGATATTGTTCTGATTATATTTTTTATGGATCGCTGTTTATGCTCGTTTTTTGCTGAGGCCAGTAATTCAACTTTTGCATTTCATACTGTACTGGAAATACTTCAGCATGTAAGGATGCACAACAAAAATGAGCTGTGTGTGTTCACATCGACTGATACTGAGTGGTTGCGGTACAAGCACATATCGTCGATAATAGACGATTACTGTGTATTAGAGAACGCTTTTGAACGGATTTAAAACTCAAATTTCATTAGCCAAATACTTCCATAGACCATTTAGGTCCACCGTTGTATAAATGGCAATGCACCCGTGTACTGAATGAGAATTGTGTGTTCGAATCCCACCGGTGCCCTTAGATTTTTCGCAAATTTTCTCACACAGGTCTCTTACCGATGATATGTGCTTACCTCTCAGTATGTTCAATCTTTCTTACAAACTATCATAACATCTTTCGCCATTCACTCGAGCATCATCTTCAAGGGAAATAATGTCAATTGTCAGTAACAATGTAGTTAGTGTGCAGTTTTTGATAACATTTAAATTTATATTGGAGTTAAATTAATGAAGCATAATAAATCCATGTGAACTCACATCTACGTAACTGCCTAGATAACAATAATCTGAAAGAGATTGCACGAAATTAAAATTCTTGTTACGCGGTGAATCTTTGTCGAAAAAATGAATGAATTTTCGATGAAGTGAGAGTCAATTCTTCCAGTACCAATGTCAAATGACAAAACTCTTTCTACGATACTTGGTTCATGAGTTGTGAATTTTCAAAGTATGTGATATCCGGAAAAATCTAAAAACTTTAACTAAAATTTCCAGGGAAATTAATCAACTTAATTTTGTTTGAATTTTTAATTTCGTTCATATTACTATAAACTCTACATTTAAATAGAGTTCAATGGGTTCAGAACGAAAAATATGCAAGACATTTCTGTTGCTACTTGGTAATGCTTTATGAAGTCCCAAGCAAATTATCAATTAGAATCGAGTTGGTCTTTAGCGAGCCATTGAAATACATGTTATCGCGGTTTTATCATACGGACTTGATGATTTATTCCTTGAAATATTCGAATATTTGCATCCTTGGGAAAATGAACCCTAATGAGTTAAGGTAGATGTACCAGTTATGGTTATACGTTCTTATTAAAAACAAAATAAGGAACAAGGCATATCTCACGTAACATTTGAAAAGGGTCTATAATCAAAATGTTAACAAATATGTTTTTGATACCATTCTATAGCACCGCTTGATCAAAATCAAAATAATTAACTCGAATTTCAAAACGGCCGATCAAAGACATTTATCGAATCATTTATTGGCCCGTACGCAAAAACGGCCAACCATGAAATGCCTATAAAAAACTTAGATTTTCTCATAGAAGTAGGCAGATTATTTACAATCCATTTTCTGGTTGGCTTACATTTTGGTTGTAGGCCCTTTTGAAATGTTACACGAGATAGGAATCAAAGTGATTCAAAAGGCGAGAAAAAGGCAGGGATTATTTACAATCCATTTTCTGGTTTGTTTTATAATAAAAACATACTGTCTGCTTTCCGGCTTGCTTGGAGCTGCAACCTGAGTGTGACTCCGATGATGAGGAAACATTATTCTGTATCCCGATGTTTGATTCGGATTTTAGTATTCAAGACAGTTAAAATGAACAACAGTGAAATATAAGTCTTCTGCTGTTGTTCATCACTTCAAAACAAACGAGATTAAATATCCAGCTGAAGATTTCAAAAAGCCTTAAACGAACCTTAAACTCGAATTGTTGTCAAGAAATAAATAAGGCCTTTTGCAAAAATCCACTCGCAATGAGAGAAAGATTCGCTCAGAGAGCAAGAGAGTTTCTCAGAGTAACTCTAGATTGCTCTAAATTTTTTACTGCCGACACCACCCCCCCCAACCCCCCCCCCCCCCCACCCCACCCCACGGTCAAGCCTTAGTACATAAAATGCAGATGAACTTTTCAACAGGTCCTGCCGCGATGTACTCTATAGAGGTGAGATATTCTAGTAAATTACATTTGTATGGTGACGTAATTCCTTTCTTTTTCGTTAACATACGTAAATATGAACGAAGACGACATTTTTAATAAAATAATTCATGTATTATTTTTAGAATAAAAGACCTTTTCCCGAACAGAATGAAGTGATTTTATGTATTTGCAACGTATTTTCACTGTACAATTAGCGTTATTCCACTTCACACTATTAATCGATAGCAATGACGTCATTATTCGACATTCAAACTTGAGCATATTACCTTGTTTATGAATACCGTGCTACCTGCAATTATCAATTCTCTTCATCGACTTTCTCTTCGATAACCACGGCAATGCAAACACATTTGTCATACTAATTTCGCTATACATAGTTTGTTAAAGAGGTTATAACCCAATGAGGTACAAAGAGAGGAGAAACAGATCGTGAAATATCATTGTATTATTAAACCAAAAAATCAACGTAATCGCAATTTGTGACGTTTCCAATTGCTTGTATCGTACAAGGGTTTCATCCCCACACAACTTTACCGATTGCTTCACCTCGGTAATCCAGCTCATTGGTCATAACCCACTGTCAATCATACAAGGTTTGGCTCAAGGTCTGGATTGGTATTAGTGAAATGTGAAAATGTTTAGTGGTGTTCGTTTTTCATCGCTATGTTTATCTTTTTACCCAAAACAGCTGGTAACGTCACGTCTTTTGTACGCCGTATGGAATGTTGTGCTGACGTGTCATCGTCATTCGTTTGCTCAGCTATGTTTACAACATTTTTGCTTCTAACACCAGTAAGCTGGCTGTTGTTCCAGACCTTGCATGATTGACATCGGTTATAACCAGCCCAGTGGCAGGCGCGTAGGCAACATGTTATACCGTGACAGCGGGCCCAGCACAGCAAAATAAACAGCTAGCTGGCATCCCTATCTTGTTTGCCTTGCCTTGAAAAGAGCTAACATCGCTGCGGACCCGCGAATTGCGGGCCCCACTGATAGCTCATAATTTGTAAACAAATAGAAGATTCAAGCCAGAATTTCAAAAAAGGCGTTACTGATATTATGGATATTCTTAATATTTTTGCTTACATTTTGTGAAAAATAAACTTAGGACTCATAAAATATTATTTTCTGATTTTCTTCCACGAAGTCAACCATTTATATGACATAAAAGGGAAAATAATTTCATTTGATAAAAATAAGACAATTCAGTCACGCCATTTTTGCAGTTCACACTGGAATTGTGACGTTTCAGATGTTGGTTTCAATAACATGGCGGCATGCCAGCCAGCTGAAAATAAACGATTTGAGCCCGGGACATACTGTCTACTGTCAAATGTTGCTGTTGATATAGGCCTTGTTACTGGCCTGGTTATAACCTAGTGCCAAAAACGTCAAACACAGCTGGGAATGTTTTTGCAGCTGAGCTGTTACCGAAAGAGAGCTTGATGAAGAGAATCGATTGACGCAGATAGGACCTATTGAAAAGATCATAGCAATTTTCATTGTTTAAATCCATGACATGCTCAACTCACCATAAGTTTCCGATACAGTAGTCGAACTTCCACGAGTGGAGGGTAGCTCTCCACTTTCCATGTCAGATTGTAGCTGTCGATAGATCGGCTCCACGGAGGCGACAAAAAATCGGCCGGTCCCGGTCGACCGGATACCTCCATGTATTTTTTGGACCGTCCAAGGGTGTTATCCGCCACGCAGCTTGAAAATAAGTAAATAATTTATTTGAATGTTTTTTTTTTTCTAGGCATAGAAGGTCGTAAAACGGTCAACGAAAATGGTATGCAGCATACACTTTGCGTGTGCGTGTGTTAAAAATTCAAAACCGAGAAGGAATTCGATCTGCTATTTGACTAGCCGCTGCAAAAAGCTAAACTATAGTTATCCTGGCAATCAATGAAGTCTGAAGTCATCGAGAGTGCTGCATTCTCATAAATCACTCGTCGATGAACGAGATCGGTACATTCCGTGGCCGATACGAAATTTAGTTATAGCAAATGGTGTGTAGGTGAATGTGATTAAAAAACGAACTGCACAAAAAAAAAACTATGCCGATAAAATATAGATTGAATGCGGCCTCTGGCCAGGCTCGCGCACTAACCTATAGTTGCCAAAGTCTTCCTGCTGCACATGGCGGATGGAGAGCGTATGTCGATTTCCTCTCGATGACATGGTCCGCCTGTCGGTCGGCTGAATCGGAAATGAGTTCTGGTACCATGAAACCTGGGAATAGCAGAACAAAGAATAGAGAGAAAAGATTAAATGAAATGATGATCAACGTGCGGTAGCTAAACGAAAACTAAAAAGACCTACAAATAGAAACCGGTATTCTTTACCATCGAGATACAACATTGGAATTTCACAAACTAGGTAAGGTACACTGTCTTTGGTTAAAATTTTTCATGTTTTTTTATAAAACTGTGGGTATTCTCATAAAATTAAAACAAAAAATCTACAAATACCAGCTTCCGTTACTGTTGCAGAGCAAATATTTACACATACATACATAAATTTCAAACACGATTGAACTCCAATATTGGCTGCCAATCGAATGAAAGTTCTACGCTTGTTGAAAAATGAGGCAAACCCAAGTGTGCTTGGTCGTCGTACACTGCAGCTGAGAACCTTTTTTCACTTGCGGAAAACAACGTTGCTGCATGCTATCCCTATTCCTCCCTTCATCCAATCAATATGGAAAGGGTTTGGAGCTTGCCAATTCTAGTCGATGAACAAGACTATATGCTCCAGTACATATTTTACCGAACAATAGCGGCCACCAACAGCGTCACCTAAAGTTGTGAGCAGGAAGGGATAATAACAATAAAATTTAACTACTTTGCCGAAGTCAATTCATCCAGTTTAATTGATTGTAAAGGAAATATACCACCATGTATAAGAGAATGTGCGGGTTAGCATAACATGTCTGTTGTGAATGGTACCGCTTTGTTGTGCGTTCTGAAAGGTTTACTTATTATTGGCAAATAGCGAAATATGGTCCGTTGAATAAAATTGGTAATTGCAGCGAAGAGAGCAAGATCTCAAAGAACATAACTGAACAGTGTAAAGAGATATGTATCAAGGATTGTTCCCTTTTTTAAAACTGATACCGAAAAAAGTCTGCAACTTTTGCTTTTTATGTTGTTTCCAAACAAAATTGTCGAAATAAGCAACTCTGTTTTACGGTGTGGGTCACGCGATAGTCTGTTTATTCGATGTCAACTTTTGTTGCGGTGTTTGTGCATTGTCGGCAGCTCTTTCGCTTTCGTCGTTGCCGTTGGAAGCAAACGACTGGTGATGTCCGTTGGAATAAAGTTGATGACCATATTCAGTTTCGCAAATTGAAGCGCGTAACCCACTATGGGTGAAATTACCGAATCATTTCGTGTGTAGTAGTGTGGATGATTTCTCACTTTCTATTTTTTTGTAAATTTTGCAGAAAGAATTACTTTTTATTTTCTAGCTTTAAATATAAATTGACACATTTAAATTGACATTAACAATTATAAATTATTATACTTGAACACATAAAAATTACCGTCTCAAAAATACTGTAAAAATGCTGTTGGCCTATTCAAGTGAATAAGCGGCGTCGGTGGTGTAGTGGTAAGCGTGATTGCCTCTCACCCCAACAGGCCTGGGTTCAATCCCAGTCGGCGATGCCAGGATGTTCTGAGGCATAACATCTCTGATCACGCCTTCCTTCAGAAGAGAAGTAAAGCCGTTGGTCCCTGGCTCATGAGTTGATGGGTCGATAGGTAGGGTCCAGGTGTGGGAGCTGCCTCCCTGGCGTCGGTAGCACGGACAACAAGATCGACGGAAAACAAATCAAAGGAAAAAAATCAAGTGAATAAAATCATGTAGCCAAAAAGAAAATCTCACTCGGCTATTTAAATCGTTAGCGTTCGGTTTTACGCATTCAATCGGATTCTCCCTCGTTAGTGAAATTGTTAAGCTGCCTTTTAGTTTATCCTTCATTCTTCTACCTACTTCTTGCAGTTCCGAGTCTACCTACAGAGTCACTTGGTTGGAAGAATTTACGGTCGTTCGGCAATCTGTTTGGAGGTGAATGGAAACATGGAAATTATGTCAAAAGCAAAATTTTCGTATGACTCACTTACAAGCTCGTTGAGATCATTTTGACATCAACTCCGTTCATATAAGATGAAAAGAATTCAATGAATTTCGCTTTGAAGCAACTCCAATTATTAATACTGTCTTTGAGACCATAATACCACAGCTTCGCTGTCTCTTGTGAACGCATTACAGCAAAGTGCCAAAGTAATCTATTGGTGCCATTATTTGCTTAACCAAATTTTCCAATTTTCCGTATCCATCGTTTAGCTTCGACTGTATTGGTACGAGCTTCGGAATCAGTATCATCGCATACTCTGGATGCAGGAAAACGGCTTCATTACTAACAACCACCTCGGTGAACCAGCCTCTGGCTAAACACCTTGTAAATAAAAGATAAAAAATAAACGACCACCTCTGAAGATTTTCTGTCGATACCGGATATCGGATACCTCGGATAGTTCCACTTCTCTCTCATTGCAATTCGTTCCAACAACTTCTTCGCGAGGTACACTTTTCACTTTTTTAAAAACTCCGTTGCTCCGACTAATGATAGTTTTCCATATCGGGCATCAACCGTTCGTCTAAACTATGAATAACTTTTTTTTGGCATCCCACTTCTGAAATTGAAGTAATATTCTTGGAAATATAGTCACTCCAGTATTATGGGCCAGCTAGTCACTATTATGGGTCAGTGGGTTCTGCGTTTTAATCAAATGGAAGTGGACTATAATTGTGGGTGACCCATAATACTGGGGTGACTTTAGCTTGTTAATCGTCTGTTTCATTTCACGTCTCGAAGGCTAATGATTCACAATTTCTTCGTTCATCCTACTGTATCATCTATGCTTGTAAACGATTCTCTCTTGTTTATTAACCAACCCAATGTTTTCACTTGAAATATAGTGAAAATAAAGAATACTGTAGAACGATTCATCTTAAAAATTAAATTTGAAAAACTTGATTTTTTCTCTGATTTTTCGAAATATTTGTATTGCATGCTGTCTATTACAAAACCAACATTACGCATAACTGCGTACGTACTTAAGGTGATTCCTTGAAGCGTCAAACAATGGCCATCATGATGGCTGATATGACCTATCACTTCATGTTTTCTAGCGCACAAATCTCGGGAACTGTTGCGATATCGATGAAATTGGAATTCCTAATGTGCTACACTGCAGCAAACATGAAGTTCCAGTTTCATAGTTGTATGATTTGTGAGAGCTCTTGAAATTTCTAGGTGATAATGAGATTGATCAAACATATGGTGTCTCCAACAATTATCCTTAAACATTGCCTACGAAAATCATTTTTACATTCGTAAGCATTACGAAGCTATTCGTTCACTAACTAGGATAGGAAACCATTCGTTATTGTTGTTGTTGTATGGCAACACAGATCATATCAGTTGTTTTTATGTTTGAAAACCATGGAGTGATTTTGTTCAGTGCATTTTCTTTTATTGACAATTTCTTTTATATTCTCGATATTATCAAAATGTGTTCGCGTGCTTTATTTTGATCAAAACGTTTCTGATAATATAATCCGTATTTTCATGATAAACTGCGTGTTTTCTTATGAACGATCCGAAACCTGTCTCTGCCCAACAGGTTATGGGCCCAGCGGAGCAGGCGGATAAAGTGCGTGGAACTGTTTTTTGAGCTGTACTCTCATCGAATTGTCGTTTCAACTGTTTTTTTTTTTTTTTGTGTCGCGATGGCTACCGGTGAGAAAATGCTGTCTTTCCCCAAGCTGAATGGGTCGAATTACGACAACTGGAGCTTCCGGATGAAGCTGCTCCTCTTGAAGGAAGGTAATTGGGCTATTGTCAGTGAGGTGAGGCCTGCGGGAACGAGTGCGGTGGCAACAGCGGAATGGACTAATAAGAACGACCAAGCAATGGCCACTATTGGTTTGGCAGTGGAAGATGGACAATTGATCCACATCAGGAAGGCCAAATTAGCGTCGGAGGCATGGAAAAACCTAAAAAAATTTCATGTCAAGCGTACACTAACCACAAAGGTGTCACTAATGCGCAAAATCTGCCGTCTCCGGCTCGAAAGAGGCGGTGATATGGAAGTGCATATCGGTCGTCTTACGGAACTTTTCGAGAAGCTGAATGATTTGCAGGAGGCCAAAGTACTCGATGATCACTGGCTCGTTGCGATATTGTTCAGCAGCTTACCTGAGGAGTACGAAACACTCGTAACTGCGTTGGAAGCACGCCCAGATGAAGATCTGACCTTGAATCTCGCCAAAGGGAAGCTGATAGATGAATGGCAGAAGCGGAAAAATCGCTCTGAAGATGATGATGATCTAGAGGCGGCGTTGCGTGCCGGTCCGAGTAATAATACTGGAAAGTGTTTTTTCTGTAAAAAGTCCGGGCACAAGAAGGTCGAGTGTGATAAGTTCAAGGACTGGAAGAAGAACAGGGAAACGAAGCAAAACGAAGAAAAAGTTCACAGTGCGGTGAACGTTCTGAATGAAGATTGTCAATGGGCATTTCTTTCTGCGGGTTCTGAGTCAGCGGAAAGACTGTGGATTTTAGATTCTGTTGCTACGTGCCACATAGTGGATCACCGTGATTTTTTCGATACAATTGACGAAACTGTTCGGGAAGTAGTTTACGTAGCTAACGGTGCCAGAGTGATGGTAAAAGGTCGTGGACACGGTAAGATGAAAGTGTTAGATAACAAGAACAGAAGTCGTGTTATCACAGTGGAAGAAGCTTTGTTCGTTCCGGAGATGAATACTAATCTTCTGTCTGTGAAAATGCTCGTGCGTAAAGGCTATGTGGTGACATTTGATAGCAAAGGAGCTGGAATCGCTCGTGATGAAGTTGTCGGTGCATACGCGGATCTGAAACGCAATTTATTTGTTTTGCTAGTATATGGTGAATCTGCAGCGTTGGTACAGAACAACAGTGGTTGCATTCATGGTTGGCATCGTCGATTGGGTCACAGAAACTGCAACGCAGTTGGGAAGATGTGTAAGTTGGCAGACGGTTTCGAACTCGTAGAGTGCGAGTGTGATGATGTTTGTGAAGTGTGTATAAAAGGCAAAATGCACAGAAGTTCCTTCCCGAAAGAATCAGAGTGCAAGTCGTCGGCAGTGATGAATCTGGTGCACACAGATATTTGCGGACCGAT